TATTTTACTCAGTTTCCTTTGTATCTTATGGGCCACTACTCCAGCCCATTGTTGTTCTCTTAGAAAGTCCCAGAATGCTCTTCAATCAAAGCATTCACCCAGGAAGGAGATTCATTTACAGTACTTTCAGTTTTGGTTTTTCTAGCTGGACTTGCATACGTCACACCACCAGCTTTCACATTAACACCTTGACCAACTTCTTCTTTGTCCTTTGGTATCAGTCTTGACATGTACTTGTAATAATCCTGTCCCACCTTCAGATTAATTCTCTCTATGTCTTCTAGCAATGGAGGGGCATCATTCGAAGGAGTGCTAGGTTCTTCAGTGACTTTAATCTTTGTTGATGGCTTATCTTTTAATAGAGTTTGCAATGGTTTCTTTCCCTGGTTATTGTCCCAGTTAGCAGCAAGTTCTAACTTCCGGAACCACTCTTCTTTTTCCCTTCCAGTTCTACCAAACAGATGCAGAATATCATCTTCACAGTCTTCACGAGTAATGATGTCAAATGATTTCATATTATCACCTAAAGGTACGCAACCATCAGTTGGACTATCTACTTTCTTCTGAGCTGAAGTTCCCTTTTTCTTCAGCTTCACACAAATTGGGTACTTCTTACTCCACCAGCGTTTTCGACAGAGTCCTTCTGGGAGGAGGACAACTTCACTGCCTCTTAAATCAAAATGCCTTTGATTAACAAACTCAGCCTTGTGATTTGGTTCATCCCATGAGGCTTTGCGTGGTATGTTGATTTTTGGTCGAGAGAGTCGTAGACTGTATTCTTCTAAGCGTACAAATACAGAATGAGTGTGACTGATGTGATAGTTGGTAGGATCGTATTTCATTATTTCATTCATCCAACCCTGTAAATAAAATTTTTAAAATACTTAAAATCAGAGATATGCTGACTGGTGTTTTCAGACCACTGAATCTATTAAACTGCAATTATTTAGTTACACTCAGAGATCATTTCGATAGATTTATTGGGGACTTCGGACTATTATGTCACACATTTGATTCTATGAATATACTTGAATTATGAGAAATATTCAAGGATTCACCTGGAATCAACTTTATTGTAAAATATCAAAGATGAATCTTTGTGAATCCGTATTCATTGGAACCCAAATTCAACTACATGTAATGAGATTAGAGGCAAAACCTTTCACCAACATTCAATGTGAAAATTTAGTACATACTTCTTGCATTCACAGGATTGACAGATTTATATAGTATGTAAATTCATGCAATTCTAATAAACAGATACAGCAGTATCATGTACATGTATATCACTACTTGTTAGTATGGACAAACACATTATACTACTTACATGTAATCATTAGACAAGTGTTAGTAGGATCATAATACAGTGTAAAATAAGAAAATGTTTGGTAATCAGAACAACTACATATTGTTATACTAGTATGTCACAATTCGGACATACATGTATATGTTTACTACTATATCATTGCTAAATATTATCTTATTATCATTTTCCACTGGTACAGAACATGCATAAACTGTTGATAAAGTGTCAACAAACATGCACAAAATTAGATTAGTTTTATGTAGGAGTGAATGCTGGGATGTCGGAATGTAGGAATTAAAATAATACACTCCATGCCATGTCCATTTTGGTACAGATGATTTAATTTGTCATCTGCATGTCTGAGCAAGAAAGCAGAGACCTCTATGTATAAAAGACATACAAAATGTATAGTTATTAATAGAGCAATACGCTTGATATTCCACTAAAACCATATTTGCTCTATTATAAGGACATAAGCCAAACACTGCACTCATTGTATGCTGGATCATTAAAATCTGACTTTTTGACACAAGTGCATGTACTTCTAGTAAAATAGTTATAGTATTCTGATTTAATTAAAATATGCATTAACAAGTCTGCCATAGTTTGATAGTTGACATGATCAACTTGGAAAAGGATATTTGCATATACATTTGTACTGACTGTAGTTTTAACATTTTGGATTTTTTAGTTAAATAGATGACTTTTCATTGACTGAGAGATATTGCATATTGCATGAAAGTCGTGAACTGAACCCTCTGGCCGCAAAAATTATAAGATTTGATTTTGAACTTAAATTTCCTTTTTTTACAGCTCAAAGTCAAAATGTCATTTTTTGAGGAGAATATTGCTTCAAAATTGACCATTATCAAATCTGTACATCACATTATTAAACATGGAAATTCCCCCAAAATACATTTGTGTTTGTTGAATCTACTGCAAACTTTTAAAGTCATTTAGATGCTATGACCTTTGTTTATCCTGCTTTTACATTCGATTTTATGCATAATGTAGGATTTGGTAGTGAACCGAAAAAGATCTGTTAGAGGCAATCACAAAATAAACAAGCAGCCTGTCAGCTGAGATAGCTCTGCTGTTAGCAATGCACATTTCAATTAAAATGAACAATATGTATAGTATCAAATCAATCGGACAAGAATTCAAAAATATCACTTTTCACCAAAAATTACAAAAATAATCATCAAAATTAGATAATTGAAGATATCACCACGAAATTAACAAATCTGAAAGAGGTCCACATGTAGTACCTATATATGTAATATAAAAGCAATTGGACTTGCAGTTTTTACCAAAAAGTTGAAAGCATCACTTTTTACCAAAAATTACAAAAATATTCATCAAAATTAGAGAATTGAAGATATCATCATAAAATGAACAAATCTGAGAGAGGTCCACATGTAGTACCTATATGTATAATATCAAAGCAATTGGACTTGTGATTTTTAACAAGAAGTCGAAAATATCACTTTTTACCAAAAATTACAAAAATATTAACCAAAATTAGAGAATTAAAGTTATCATTACAAAATGAACAAATCTGAGAGAGGTCCATATGTAGTATATCTATCTATGTAATATCAAAGCAATTGGACTAGCGTTTTTTAACAAGTCGAAAATATCACTTTTAACCCAAAATGTTTACTAAAATTAGAGAATTGAAGATATCATCATGAAATGAACAAATCTAAAAGAGGTCTACCCAAGGTACATATACACCAAGTATCAAAGCATTCAGGC